CCCTCCACTGTAACTTCCTGCTGCTTTGTCAGCATATTTCACCAGACCCAACTTCCTGATTCCCCACTCTGCCACCTGTCAATCAAACACCATCAGTAGCATCAGCATCGCCGCTGTGTGCAGGGTGCGCTGTGGTGTGTACTGTACAGTGCATATTGTTCAATGCACAGAGGTAGCGCACACGCTAGCTGGCAGCTTTTCAGACTCACGTCACAGACTTCTTTCTCGGGGACTCCTCGGAGGATGGCGTACAGCTCCAGATGCTCTCTTCCTGTCAGCAGCTCGTTGATGGCATCGAACTGAGGACAGTAGCCCATGTTCTGATGCACCTCATCGATCTCCCTCAGGATGCTGCATGCGCGCACACACACACACACACACACACACACACAGTCAGCTGCACTGGTTCCACACTGTACAGCTCGATGGCTGCTCTTACTGTCAGCAGCTGATATCAGATGTATGCAGGAGGGAACAAGGCGCCTGTCTTCTCGTACTCTGAATAAATTCTCTGCATATAAAGTCAACTTGTCCCAAGTGACCTCAAACGACTTAAGTTACAGCTTGCTGATAAACAACTTGAGTTTCAGAAGGAACAGCAGAATCGCAATACAACATTTTGAATACACCTGGGACTTATTCTCAAATAAACTAGGCATTATAATAAAAAGAAACTGGGACCAAATAGTTCCGACTGTGCACAACGGTACCGCAAAGTCTGGCCCTTTAATAAGGGTTTGCAAGACTTAAACTTTTCTAAACTTTTTAAAAACTGTTATTCATGTGTAGTTGGTCAGCAACAGTCACTGCTGCCGCCTCAGTTTTTCACAGTGAAACAGACAGAGGATGAGCGGGTGGACAGAGCAGCTCTGAGCCGACCGCAGACAGCAGAGGGAGGCTGACATGAGAACCAGACTGCAGCCTGCTGTCACATCTCAGCACTCAGCTATCACCTGTTAGCCTAACACATATCTGCAGTGACTGGCAGACTGTGGGAACAGCCAAAATGACCACTTCTCTGCCAGTTTATGCTTCTTTAGCAGGTGTTGTGGGGGGTTTTAAAAAATGTTTTCAGTCATAAAAATGAGGAATCCACAGCGGGCCATATACAGTAGGTTACAGTAGACGGTGAAGCCCGTTTCTTGCAGCTGTTAAAGCAACATTTCTACAACAGAACAATTGCAGAACTTAGACTAAAACCGCTGCATTTGCAAAAATACTTATTCCCTTTTTAAAATTTTCACTCATGTCTCGTCCTTTTTCATGGGGACACGCTGGGGCTGCAATCAGACAAAACAAAGCATGCAGGAAGTAAATCCCCCTTAATGCCACTAGGACAGGAGTGCCAAAACGCCTGGGATAAATTTCAATATTTATTAAAAGTCATAGCAGCTCTCGCTCTATTTGTTTGTTTTTTTCGAGTTTTCTAGGTTTTCTGTGTTGCTTTTTGTGCTGTGGCGCTTTCCCGTAAACTTTTTGGGGAGTTGGGCTACCAGGAATACAAGTTTTATTGCGTTTGCATTTATACTTTTTACAAGGTTTTGAGTCTGCCTGGGGAGGGCTCTGTTTGCCAACAGTCGGCCATCAAGGCCAGCAATCCTTCCGAGCTCCTTGTGGTGAGCTGCCAGGGATTTTCCACGGGGATGTGAGATGGTGCAACGGGGAGGAAACGGAGATATGGGCCATGTTCGCCATCGGTCCGCTCCCCTCCGAGATGAATGGATGAGCTAGCCATGCTGGTAGAGCTCAGACACAATACCGGCAAGCCCAAATCCCCATCTCGAGGACATTAAACCATGCTTCCCCCCTCCCCCCTCTCTGCCACCCTTCCACACAAAGAGCAATAAAACTCTGGACCTACTGTAGGCTAATGCCTGTTGTTTAGTCTCTACTGCTGTTCCTGATTCTCTCCAGTGCTGCTCTGCCCTGTTTTTAGGTGCCTTTGATTTGCTTATTTGTGCTGTGTAAAACGTAACGTTCTGATGACGCTACTTGTGTGTATGGTTCTGATGCTTTGTTGCCTTTATGTAACTTTTTATTTTAACACCAAGTGTTCTTTGTTGCTCCGTGCGGAGTAGCAGCAAGTTACAGCAGCTGTGTCCTCGTTGTGTTCTTTCCCGTGTTTCTATGAAGTTCTGTTCTTATGGTGTTATGTTGGTTGTTCTCTATTGCTGCTGTAACACAGAAATTTCCCCACTGTGGGATCAATAAAGTACCTACTCTACTCAAAATAAAATAGTGCAAGGTACTGTCAACATAAAAATAAAGAGGCTACAGTATATTTATATGTGAGAATCTCCATAAACACCAATGATCTCACTCACTGCTCTCTTTGAGTACTGATCAAGTCCCGGTCATTACAACGTGTGAACCAAAGAACTCGGAATCAGTCGCACCACTGTACCCAGCAGAACAAATCTGCAAGAACCTGGTCAATCCCTCACAACAGCAACACACCAAGAGCTGGGACTTCACTTTCCACTTCAGGTCCTGGTCTCGATTCAAAAGAGGAGCTGATCTGGAGTCAGATTAAACCTCACCTCTTCCCAGCCAGGAAGGCTTCTCCACTAGTCACCACAGTGTCTCCTGTCAGCATCTTAAAGGTGGTCGTCTTGCCTGCTCCATTCACGCCGAGCAGGCCGAAACACTGATGGCACACACACACACACATTTTCTTCAGTGTTAACCATGAAGGACACAGTTTATCATCTCAGCTGATCGGTGACAAGCCTCACCTCTCCAGGAGGGATCCCCACACACAGTCGATCCACCGCTGGCTTCTGCTTCCTCTTAAACACCTGAAGGGCACATGTCACTCAGTCAGCACCAACGAACACATCACTTCATTAAGGTCATAGTGATTTAAACTGACAACAAACACACAGCATCTCATTTCAACCCCGTGATGTCACTGGGTCCAGGTGAACCCACCTTGGGCTCCAGCCCTGTCCACCCAGAACTGGATACATGGGTTTAGAAAGTGGATGAAAGAATAAATCTGAGCCTCGCTGTCGGAGACACCGGGCGGGGTGATGCTCACAGCATCAGTGCCCTGATGTATGATAGATATTTGAGACTGTAAACGTACACTGTGTCTCTGCTAATCTGATGAAGACATGCCAATGCCTTATTTGGGAAACAGGAAAACCATCAAGGGAACAAGACCCTGTGGAGCTCATTAGTTTTAATGCTTTGTTTGCTCACAGTGGCGGTGAGGGTGAAGGGTGGACAGGCCTCGATTCAGGAGGTTAACCGTTTTGTGTGCATATACTGTTTGTGTACAGTAGGCCTACATACTGTGCGTGTACCTTGGTGAGCTGTCGGAGCTCCAGGATGTCTCCCTGACCGAGGCCGTGGACGATCTTTTGTCTCTCCCGGGCCACGTCCTCGTCCTCCGCACCCAGAGCTCCCAGTTTGGTGAGTTTGCTGACCGGCCTGCATGCACACACACACAGTGACGTCACACAACCTGTAATTGCTCCTGGCTGTAGTCCTGACTGACTCACCACTTTTACAAAGCTACAGCTGTCATTATGATCTTAGAGGTACAATTCATCTTAACTTGCTGTTTGTTTAAACACACACAGAGGAAACACGGGCTGACAACGTTGTTGTGTCTCTGCAGGACAAGGACAGTGGCAGCTTTATAATTAATAGTTACTGTGTTTACAGTTTGCTCTGCTGCGGTCAAACGGACACAAGAGACACGTTTACAGATTCAACAGGAATATTAAGAGTTTTTTGTGTATGAGGTGTGTGTTTTCTTCAGAAAGTACTCAGACCCCTGCACACTTTGTGTTGTTGGACACTTACTGCATCGGTCTACACTCAATACGTCATGTTGACAAAGTGAAAGCATGAATGCAGAAGTGTTCAGAGCCTGTGCTGTGACACAACACAGCGTGGTCAGGAGCGTCCTCTTTGCTCTTTGAGATAAACCTACAGCACAATAAAGTGTGCAAACACAGAAGGGGTTAGGGTCTTTCTAAAACTGGGAACTGAACTGTATATACCTCGTGGGATAAAAAGAGAAATGCTTAGAGTACAGTTTCATTTCCAGCTGCCAGCAGGCTGCTCATGTGGCAAATCAAACAAGCACTTCAGAAAAAAATAAATAAATCACATACCCTTCCAGGGCTCCCATGGTTTCCTTAAATCTGGAATATTTCTATATAATTATTAAACGTATGAGACAGTACACATGTGAAATACCTGGGTTTGATGCAGAACCTGTACTGGATGAGGACTGTGGCGATGAAGAACACCACTCCCTCCACAGCCATGGCAAACAGGTTTTTTCCCACCATGTCCCACTCCAGAGGAGAGCGGAACTGCGTTTCACCTGAAACACAACAACAACGTTCACACAACCTGTCTCCAATCAGCAGATCGGACGGACCAACCCCCCCAAAAAGAGACATCCATGAAACACCGACTGAATAGTGCCTCTTGGTCACGACTGTGTCTCTCAGCTGTGACCACTGACTGATGCGTGTGACACGTCACCACTTTGCAAAAGTGAAGCCAAAATACTGTGAATATGGCGGCTGCCATCTTGGCATTTGGCAACTGGATTCCACAGCGTCTTATGGACATGTACGGCGACCGCTTTGATATTCAGCTGTGCTCCTCCTCTGTGGGCATGGACAAAGAATACGCACCTCAGCACATGCACCTATAAAACCATCACAGTGTGTGTTTGTATGTTACCGAATCTCTCGAGGGCGTCAGCCATCGCCTGGTTCTTCACCATGTCGATGAGTCCTCGGCCAAGACAGAAGTGAGGGAAGATGAGGAGGACGTTCTTCAAAATGTCGTTGATTCCTCCGATCTCCTGCAAAGATCACATAGTTAAACAGCAGCTGTGTGTGTGTTATATATATTATTCTAAGTACTTCATTTGTATTTTTCTTGTTTGCACATTCTTTTTCTTTTCTTGTTCTCTCAGTCTACTTGTTGCTTTATGGAAGAACATTCTATGTGCACACCGAGAGCCACTGTACCGGAGTCAGATTCCTCTTGTGTCCAACACACCTGGCTGATAAAGCTGGTTCTGATTTAGCCGAGGTTTCATTTATCTTAAAGCTGCAGTTAAGTTTATTTCTGCGGTTTATTTAAACCTGTAGCCTGTTGCTGCGTGTGCTCACGTTGTTTCCGAACAGCTCCATTACGAAGGTGGAGATGCTGCCATTGATGCCAATGAGGATGTTGACGCTGGTGAGGACAACGTACGCCGTGCTGGGGACCTTAAAGAAGAAGGAGGCCGGGTACATGAGCGGTGTGATCGACCAGCTGAAGTAAACAATGAGAAGGGAAACAAAAGGCCTTTGTCAGAACACAACACAACAAACTGTCTCGTTTTCTGTCAGGTCAAAACAGGAAATTGAAATAAAGGTCTGGTTCTCTTAGCAGGCGAGAGAAATACAAATGAAGTATTCGGTAAAAGTAGTTTCAGGAAGTATTTTGTAGTACTGAGCAGTATCTGACCCATAGAGCAGCAGCAGCAAGGCAAGGACTGGCAGGTTGGTGGAGGAGACATAGGCTTTTTGTTGGAAACTGATGAAGATGAGGATGACCAGCGTTGCCGGGACAATGTAGTTACACTGCAGAGAGACACAAATGTCAACAACACTGAACATGCACACACGCTGACTGAGGGTGCGCTTGTTTTGCATCTCACCATGTCCCAGATGAAGTTGGCAATCCAGTAGAGCAGCGGCTGAACCCCGCTGATGAACTGCATGTGTTTGGCTTTACTGACTCGCTCCTGGATGAGGAAGACCACAAAGCTCGCCGGAACAAAGGACATGGCAAAGATGACACAGATGGACACCAGGACGTCCACTGAGGTTGTCATCCTGGAGACACAGCGGAATAGGAGTTAGGTTTGCAAGTGATGAAAAAAGACTGAACAGAGTCCAGTGACACTGATTATAGAGACACCTGTTGGTGCTTCTACTTGGGTGTTTCCTGCCTCTGGCAGTTCAGGTGTAACTGCGTGGATGTAGTGTCACAGGTGTGTAACTGTTCAGGTGTATGGGTCGGTCAGCTGTGTCGGCACTGCAGAGTAGCTGATCAGGTGTAGCCGTACACATATGTCATATTTATGTGTAGCTGTTCCGGTGTATAAGGATTTTACACCAGAGGAACCTACTGAAGTGTGTCGTGTGAGGCTCGTCCCAGGTTCTACGTTTGTTTCCACTCCCTTCTCGAAAACGGATCCAAATCTCTGCATGTCTGTGTTCTGCTTGTTTAACAGCCGTTTGAACTGCTCCTACAGCCTCTGCTACTGGCTGATCGGTGCACTGTGGAGTGGTCCTCCACGTCCTCTGCTCAGCTGTGGGTGTGTTACAGGAGCGCAGCCCCTCCCTCCTCTAAACAGAGACCCACACAGTGGAGAAGCAAAGCGGGATGGTCGGCGTCAACCTGTGACGTTATGCCGGGGGAGTAACAGTGGAAACGCAGCTGTAGCGTCTCAGATGTGTAACTGTTCAGGTATGTGTGTTGTTGAGCTGCACTTGTACAGGCTGTGTAGGTGTAGCTAGGTGGGTGTTCAGGTGTGTAGCTGTACAGCTGCGTACTCACAGTGCAACCTGGGACAGCTGCTCCTTGGTCAGGTTCAGGGGATGGTTAAAGGCACTGATGCCGTAGCTGCTGGGCTCTGCCCCTTCGGGCAGGTGAGCTCTCAGGATGCCGTTGTTCATGACGTTGATGAAAGATCCAATACTGTGCCAGCCTTTGTTATTGAACCAGACCTGAGGACACATCAGTTTTAATCAGCACTGATTAATTATTGATCTACAAGCTCCACTTACTCCAGACCTGTGTCTGAAATACCGGCACACTGATTAGATGGGCTTTGACAGCAAATAGTAATGAGACACCTGAGACTTGCACATTTTAACGTGTTCCAGGAGGCAGCAGGGATCATTTCTAGGCTGAAGAATTTATTGGAGTTCATTAACTCAACACCCTCTGCACTCCCTTAATATTAGGACCCAAATCCAGAGTTCTTTCCAGAAAGCATCACACACCAACAAAACAAAGCCTCAGCAGTATTTCTCCGTGGTACAAGTGTCATCTTACAGGCATGTTCTGGTCCCGTTCCATACTTACAGGTGTTATGGTTTTACTAATGATCGCAGCTGTTTTCTCACCTTCACGTTGTTCTTTGTGTCCAGGCCGTTGATGAAACCCGACAGGTTGTCCAGGAATCGATCTGCAGCAGCTCCCTGCAGGAAACAATTTTAATTTTTCACTTTTCACATCAGGTGTTCACGGCACACGTCTCACTGGACATCAGAGTCACAGTAGGACGGTTAAGTTCTTCGTTAGACTGTTTTCTTATGAAGATGATACTTTTGGAGCTGACCCTGGGTCTGATCTGTTGTTAAGGAAAATCACTTCTTGCGTCTTTCTTGTTTTTTATTCTGCTTTTTGATTCAAGTTTGCTTCATTTTTTATAGCTGTCTGAGGAGTTCATGACTCTCTGGCAGTTGAAGCTAAGACCCAATCATAAAGCTGTCAGCGTGCAGGGAGATCAGACTTCTGCTTTTCACAGGGAATCAAACACAAATGTTCTGCTCCTGCGTTCACATTCTGACCTTCTGAATCTCAAAGATCTTCCTGACTCTCTCAATGGCGTCATCGACCTCATCGGCCGGAGGGAGGACCTGAGTGCTCCTGGCGCCCAGTGAGAATCCTCCATACCTGCAGAAGGAAAACATGTGAGCATCTGGAAACAGCTGCTGACTGACAGAGAACACAATTTTGTAAATAAAATCATGAACCGACCTGAACTCATTGACCCATACTTTGTTCTTCAAACTGTGAAACAAACATCAGACACAAAGTTTCAGTTTCTGAATTTTTCCAGGTGTATTTGTTCATCGAGCGAGTGTCGCACCTCTTGCCAATGATCTGAGCGTAGGTTTTCACCAGGTAGTCGGAGATGTTTCTTCCTGTCAGGTTCTGCAGCGTGTCGGTGGCGCTCAGCTTCATCTGAACAACAACATCACATTTATTCTTCTGCATGAGCAGTGAGGTCTACTAGGAGGCATGTTCACCTGAAGCTAATCAAAAAGTTCAAATGCAGAATCTAAAAACAGCTTCAACAGATTCAAAAACCTGGGTACATAAATTCATTCAGACGTTTTTCAGACAAATGAAAGTCTGTCATGAAAATATTAACATTTAATTTACTCCGATTATTCCTGGGTGTGAAAGTTGAGCGGTATTTTTAGATAAAAATCGGCACTGATCGTCTCCCTCTGAGAAACAACAACAGTATGGTCATCTAAAATGAGACACTGGTTCCTCTCATTTCATAACGTACACTTTTGTACCCCAGGACTCTGAGTCTATGTGCCACTCTGTTTCTCATGGTCGCACCTCAGGGGGGGGCAGCCCTCCGGCTCCAGCAGGACACTCCGGCAGCATCTTCTTCTTGCCGTCGCAGCTGCAGACACAAGCCGGAGACGGATCCTCCATGGTCCAGTTCCTGGAGCTGAACAGCTGCTGGACGCTTTTGGGGACGTCAGGAGTGTGCCAGTCCTCGTCACCCATTGTACAGGGAGCCTCTCTGAGAGATCGGGAGGACAAAGACCGTTACAACACCACAGTCAAACACCTGGTCCAAAACTTGATCGAAATCTTTAAATCTCCTACGGGATGGGATGTCCGTCCATGCAGCGAGTCCCAAAGCCTGGAGCGTCCAGCATAGTGTTTAACAACTTCTGCATGTTGACATCTCCAGGAGCATCGTCACTGACAGGAGACACAGACAAAGTCAGACAGTAAGCTCCTCAGAGTTATCCTGTATGTGTACATAACTGGTAGCAGCTGTGTACCTGATGAAGGTGACCTGGTCCTCGTACATCCAGGGCTGCAGCTCCAGACTGGGGTATTTTCCAAACGGGGGGACAATGAGACTGAAGACCAGAGCAATGCAGACGAACACAGCAGGAAGTACAATCTAAAACACATTGTAAACCTTAAAAAAAAAAAAACAAGAAAGGAATCTGCAGAAAGTTCAGAGTACATGCATAAAGTTTAAAAGGTGAGAGCAAACCTGAGCGAAGAAGCCCTTCCTGGAGCGCCGAGCATACAGGAAGCGTTTCCACATCAGAGCCACAAACTGCTGCCTCTTCAGACTCCAGCCCTTCACCTGATACGATCCTTTACCATCAGTGCACTTCAGCCAGTCCGTCTCTCGGCACTCTGACAGGTCACATGACACAGATCACATGATGAGCCACGGGTCACGTAACAGGCTGCACAATCAGAATGTGTCCGAGGAGGGCCTGAACTAGACATCCGCTCACATGCACAGTGATAAACAAAATCCTGCTGGTTTCTATTATTCTGTTGTAACTGTGGCAGAATTCATTGAAGGTGCCAGTTTGTTCAGAGATACAAACACCAGACTGGTCAGTATCATCAGGCTCCGTACTGAGACACCATGCTTCAGCCTGAGCAGCGGAAAACTATCAGCTGTAAGTTGTATCATCTTATATTTATGTGGTGTTTGTTATTAAATAATGAGAATATATTGTATAACTATGTGGACTAGACTGGAAAGTCTTTATTGTCCTTGAGGGGCAATTTGATTTGCAACAGTGCTGAACCACAGTCATCAACCAATTCGCATAATAAAACAGATACAACTTAGAGTGGTGTTATCATAGGAGAGAAATATATATAGTGGGTACGGAAAGTATTCAGGTGTGAAAAACTTGTTGCATCATTCCCAAAAAGACTCATGGCTGTATTAGCTCCAAAGGTGCTTCTACTAAATACTGAGCAAAGGGTTTTTCTTTTTTAATAAATCTGCAAAAATGTCAAACATTCTGTGTTTTTCTGTCAATATGGGGTGCTGTGTGTACATTAATGAGGAAAAAAATGAACTTAAATGATTTTAGGATATGGCTGCAATATAACAAAGAGTGAAAAATTTAAGGGGGTCTGAATACTTTCCGTACCCACTGTAGGAGGAAATAAAAACACTGAAGTCCTTGTTATGTGTGTGTACAACAACAGCTAGACCTACAGCAGCTGAGGGACCAAATGAGCTCAAGTATCTGTTTGCCTTGCTCCCCTGGTGAAGGTAAACCTCCTTCCAGATGGCACGAAGAGGGGACTGAGCGTCTGCCAGGATGGCCTTTGCTCTCCGAGTGGCTCTGACTTGATCACACAAGCCAAGATCATTTCAATGATCTTCTGGCAAATTCTCAGAATATTTCCCAGCCTATGTTTGCTAACCACGCCAAGGTTGCCAAACCAGCAGATCACTGCAAAAGTTAAAATGGACTCAAAATATTTTCAGGAGTGAGTCAACATTAAAAACAACAGTCTCTGATTGACCTTTTTTGCATTTGGCATCCATGTTGGCATCAACGGTCAGTTTGTCATCCAGGACAGCATCTATACTGACTCACTGCCCCGTGGTTATGCCTTGTAATCAAGTCAGTGCTGTGGCAGGTGCGTTCCTATGAAAATCAATAAGCCCCTCTTTTGTCGTAGCGACGTTGATATGCAGGTAGGAATCATCACACCATTTAATAAAACTGCCCTAAACAGGACCGTGGTCCACTTCAGGAGGCTGACAAACACTGAATCTACAAATCACATTAGAAACCTTGTGTGCATTAGTGTGTGTCACAGCATGTACCGGGGTCTCCGTCAGACTCAGTGCCATCCTGGTTGTCGTCTTCAGTTAATGGTCTCAGGCAGCTCTGAGGGTCTCCTCCACCAAAGGCGTGAGTCCTCCTCCGCCTCCGAACAGGAACTGTACCATCTGAGCACACACACACACACACACACACACACACACACACGTCACGGTGAACGATGATGTCTGGACTGGATTTCAGTGTTTGTGAAGGAGCTACGCGGTCAGAGGTCACTCCTCACCTGAGGGCATTTCAGTGTCAACTCCATTATCCTCAGCCACTTTCAGGAAAATCTACAAGAACAAGAAACTTAATTTTGTCTGATTTGTTTACATTTATTTTGTCAGTGTCTTCTTAACTCCATCTCTGCCTTGTAACTCTTATTTTGAAAAGTTCTAAACTGATAAAGGTCATATTCTTCCTGTTAGAGAATAATAAATCCAGCTAATTTAGCTCAGCTATACTTCCCTTTTAATTACTGTTTCTCAGACTGATCCACATGAACAGTACTTCCCGTCTCCCTCTCAGACTGAATGGCATCAAACTCCAGAAAGCACAAACCTCCTCCAGCGTGGTGTCGGACACTCCGTAGCTGGAGATGCCCAGCTCAGGCAGCTTCACGTCCAGGTCTTTGAAGAGTTCTACGAAGGCTCCGTCCTTGGCGGCGCTGTACGGCAGAATGTAGGTCAGCTCGTGTCCCAGGCCTTCCACCAGCCGGGCGGTGGGGATGTGACGCAAGATCAGACCTGAGATCAGGGACACATCTGGGAGGATGAAGGGGACGTCACAGACGGACACCGCAGGGGCATTCTCTGAGGACGGAGACACGAGGCACAGATCAGGCCCACCTTGAAGTGAAGGAATCAACCGCTGTGCAGAAACAGAGAGCTCACCAATGGTAGCTGCCTCACTTTCATGTTCACTGCCGAGTCCTGCGTCACTGCTGCTTACTGAGGTGCACTCCTCCTCCTGAAACACCAAGGACACAGGATCAGTTATGTCAGTACTGACTGACCAGAGGAGAACATAAAGGTGTCAGCCTCCCTCAGTGCTTGTGCACAGTACAGGGGAGATAAAAGGAAAAACATTTAATTCATATGCTTGATATATTCTGCTTCATTTGTAAAGCAATTAAAAACTATCTAAGTTACATTTTCTCTGCAGCTTCAACAAACGCCACAGACTGAGCAGACTTGGCTGTTTAGTTGGAGCAGAGGGATGGCTGATGTGAAGTTTAAGGATTCAGCTTGTGGTGTCTGTCAGGTGAGCTCTCCTCCTGTGATAACAAACAATACTATCTCTGGGTGTGTGTGTGGCGATGATAACTGTAGACGTCGTGTATCTGAGACCTTCTTGATGAAAGAAACGTTACTGGATGAGTTCCTGCAGGAGCTCAACGATGGCTCCAGCTCTTTCTTCACCAGTGTCAGGTAATAGCCCGTCCCCAACTGATTCTTCAGGTAAAGGGACGAGCCCACGCAACACAGCTTCCCGTGGGAGATTATGGCAATCCGGTCACCCAGGATGTCTGCCTCGTCCATATGGTGTGTGGATAGGATGATGGTCCGACCTGATTCAAGGCAGGATGTCCAATTAAAGTCTAGCTGGAGAATAAAAACCTTAAAGGAGCTGCTTAAACCAACCAATCAGAGGACTTACCCTGTCTGTACTGAAGCAGTAGGTCCCAGATTCCCCTGCGGGCGTACGGGTCAACACCGGCTGTGGGTTCGTCCAATATCACGACCTTTGACCCCCCGACAAAAGCCAGAGCCACAGACAGCTTCCTCTGCATGCCCCCAGACAGAGTACTGGTCCTGGATGTGCGTTTGTGCGGCAGCCCAGTGTCCTGCAGGATCTGCTCGATCTCGCCTTTCACCTGCTGCTCTGACAGGCCTTTGAGCCGGGCGTAGAACCAGATGTGCTCCTCCACTGTCAGCCTGCAGGGGGCACCACAATACAAGCAAGTTCACATGATAAAATGTGGAAACTTTTAAAACCTGAAACAAAGCGACATCTCCCTCTCAAACATTGTTTAAAACTAAAGGACTCACATGCTGAAGAGGACGTTGTGCTGTGGACACACGCCCAGACTCTGTCTGATGGTGCTCAGCTCAGTTCGGATGTCTCTGCCCAGGATGTAAGCTGTACCAGAGGTGGGAGGGAACAGACCAGTCAGGATGGACCTGTAGGGACGAGAAATGAGGACATGAGAATGGATCCATGTCCTTGCCTCTGCCTGCAGATGTACCTGTAAATCCTATCCCTGTACCTCTTTCTGTACTTGCACTATTACCTGTATACAAGTACTTGTATCTGTCTGTGCCAGCCTTGCCCTGAACTCACATGGTAGTGGTTTTTCCGGCACCATTGTGTCCCAGGAAGGAGGTGATTTGTCCCTCATAAAAGCCGAGCGTCAGTCCATCCACTGCCAGCTTCTTTCCATGACGGTAAACCTTCACCAGGTTTTCGATGTAGACTCCAGGGTCCAGGTGGGCTGGCTCCTCTTCCATACACACCACTGGAAACACAGTGAAGACACCTTGCTGCATCTTTCAGGAAGTCTCTTTCACATTAAAAGTCTTCTAGATTACACAGATACTTTTAAAGACAATTTGATTTGTATTTTCACTTTTGAAAGTTGATTGCTCGCCACTCTTTTTAAGGTTACAGTTGTTATTTTGTTGTTTCTCAGAGTGCAGCTCTGTAGCTCCATTGTGTAGTTACCTCCTGGGTTTCCTTTCCGGTTCAGAGGGATTTTACTGGATGTTCCATCTTTCTCTCCAAACCAGTAGGACTTGGTGAAGGGGAAATACCAGGGCCGAGGGATCCCGTACTGACCTGAGACACAAATGCATCTTAAGACACATTCATTTATTCATTCATTTTCTACCGGGGGGCGGCGGAGCCAATCCCGGCTGGCAATCGGGTGAAGGCGGGGTACACCCTGGACAGGTTGCCAATCCATCGCAGGACGAACAACCACAAACACGCACACGCACTCCTATGGGCAATTTAGAGACACCAATCAACCTAACTCATGGTGTGGAGATGTACGGACTGTTTATAAGCACTGTTCGCCAGACGTAAAGTTTTCATTGCTGAAATGCCGGCCCTACTATCTAGCCAGAGAGCATAGTGCTGTGTTTCTGGCTGCTGTGTATGTTAGCCCAAGAGTTGATCCGTCACCGGGGTCTGTCGGAGGTTTCTTCCGTTAAAGGGAGTTTTTCCTCCCCACTGTCGCCAAGTGCTTGCTCAAGGGGGATTTGTTGGGTTTTCCCTATGTAATAATATTGATAACAGTAAGGTCTAGACCTTAGTTTGTAAAGTGTCCTGAGATGACTTTTGTTGTAATTTGGCGCTATACAAATAAAATTTGATTTGATTTGATTTGGTCGCATCACTGGCGCGGACGAAGCAGCCTACAGGACGGAGGTGGCCGGTCAGGTGTTGTGAGGAAAGTTCTTTTTCTTCTGAAAAAGAGAAGACTAATAAAAAGATATATATTTCACTACGTGAAATTTATATGCCAGGTGGTGATAATAAAGTAACTGTGGACCCTCTTTGCCAAAGCTGTAAATCTAATGAGATTCAGTGTTTTAGTGAACCAGTACCTTTGATGTTAAACAGTGCTCCAGTTGGCTAACACAATAAATATTGATCAGTGATTCAGTGAACACATAGGGTGATATGTAACTACATGAACATAACTGTAAGATTAAAGTATATAGACTTATGTGTGCTATAAAATAAAAAAACCTTAACTAATTCTATTCATATCTATGTAAAAATAAAAATCACCCTAATAGTGTCATGGTGCAAGGACAATAATCTCAGCCTCAACACGGACAAGACGAAGGAGATGATAGTGGACATGAGGAAGGAGAGGAGATCTCATCGACCACTGTTCATCTGGGGGCTTGAAGTGGAGAGGGTGAGCAGCTTCAAATACCTGGGCGTCCACATCAGTGAGGACCTCACTTGGACACTTAACACCACACAGCTGGTCAAGAAGGACCAGCAGCGGCTGTACTTCCTGAGGAGGCTGAGGAGTTTTGGCATGTCGCCTAGGATCCTCAGCAACTTCTACAGCTGCATCATTGAGAGCATCTTGACCAGCTGCATCACTGTCTGGTATGGAAGCACTACTGCTATGGACCACAAGCGCCTGCAGAGAGTGGTAAAGACTGTGGAGAAGATCACCAGGACTCCACTGCCCTCTCTGCAGAGCATTTACCACCACAGGGTGCATAGGAAAGCTGCCTCCATCCTCAAAGACCTCACCCACCCCCAGCACAGACTGTTCACCTCCCTACCCTCTGGCCGGAGGTTCAGAAGTGTGAAATCTCACACAAACAGCTGACAGGAGTTTATTACCAGGAAATACGACCTGTACTGTTTACATTCTCAGTTTGCACATGCATAATTGCACATTGATTGTTGAGTGTGAAATGTAGGACCACTAGACTGAAAAACTCTTTCTTTCCCTCTGCCATCAGACTCCTAAACAGCTGAGGAGTTTATTACCAGGAAATACATCATGTACTGTTTACATTCTCAGTTTGCACATTGACTGTTGACCACTGCACATGCTGCTCCCATGCGGCATACATTTTGTTATGTTCTTTTATTATATTGCTGCATCTGTTGCTGCTTAAAGTGCCTTAGATTTTGTTTTATTTATTTATCTACTTTATATTTCATTTGTATTTTGTGGCATTCACGTGGATGGCAAAGTAAAAATTTCATTGTACAGGGAAACACGTTTCCTAATTGTGCATATGACAAATAAACACTTTAAATTGTGGGAGGAAGCCAGAGTAACTGGAGAGAACCCACACAAGCACGGGGAGAACATGCAAACTCCACACAGAAAGGTCCCAGGTGTGGCCCGAACCTGGAACCTTCTCGCTGTGAGGCAATGGTGCTAACCACTGTGCCACCGTGCTGCCCCTTAAGCAGCATCAAACTTACAATCTCTTCAGACTGAATGACCTCTCCCTGGCAGAAGCAAATTATGCACTAATACAGTGATTTGACTGCTATGGCTGTCAAATCAAAAACCAGAGACACACTTCTCTCCTTCAAGACAAAAACCTATCGACCAGAGTCTGAAGTATAGAAGCTGCTCTTTTAGTTAAGAAAACCAGAGAAGAGTCCATTTTATCATAACTGCTGCCTCATTGTGAATTAGGTGAAGACCAAGAATTTAAATTCAGGTGCATCATTTTCTTCCGTTATTATTTTATCCCAAAACTTCACAGCCTGCAGAAAATGTTGTGTTCTTAAACTGAAGTTTCACCATCAAATCAAACGAGCCACTTGTTGAACCTCATTACAAATGTCTGGCTGTAGTACAGTTCAAAGTGACATCAGCTCTCACCTGGAAACACGGCCTCGACGTACCAGGTGAGGACTCCGTACAGGAAGGAGTCGAAGTACATGATGATAATGGTGGTACGGAGGCTAAAGTCATCCTCTTCCAAAGGACTCGACACCAGATTCTGCCACTGGATGCCCACTCCCTGCTCCTCGAACAGAGCGAAGTACTCGCAGCCGAACCCGAACGCCACGGGTGACAGGAGACTCTGCGGGGTGGAGGAAGGAGGTCATGTGACTCACTCAGTGCAATGACAAACAGTATCATAACAACAAACTTATCCCAATAAGCATACAGCGAAGACTTTGGCTCCGAAGCCAATGTAGTCCTGCCAAGCGACGCAGAGCACATAGGGCAGGTAGAGGGTGAAGTAGATGATCCCTCCACAGGCGGCAGCCAGGTTGGCTCGAGCAAATGCTGTGCTGATGAGGAAACACTGCATGATGGTCACCACTGCGAAGGATCCCAGGAAGAGGAAGACCACGCCAGGGTCACTGTAGGGCAGCAGGTTCCCCTTCTGCACAGGACACAACAAGACCAGTCATATCCCATTAATAACATCTCAAAACTACATCTTCAGGCAGGTATGCGAGGGTCGCTGTGTTCCACTTCCAGGTAGTCACTGGTTTAATCTTATTTCACTGTGGTATTAGACCTGAAATTTGCAGAGACGTTAAACTTGCTTGAGTCATTATAATCATCATCATAAACATTTCAGTGCAAAATGTCACATTGTTTGACGCCTGTCAGACACACCGGACATCTCATATGGACAGAAACAGCTGTAGATAGCAGTAATGTGATAAGAAAGTTCAGTCTTTACCAGCAGTATGTCTCACTGCGCTTAGTTTTAGACGCATCACTTTGAGAGAGATGGGAGATAACAGCTCTCAGATCTGTGCAGCTGGCAGTAAGCTCTGGCATTACAAATTTTAAGGCAAAAAGATAAGAGTAATAAGGACTGATTGGTCGATTGATTGATTGTCAGTCTTTACATCGAATATTTTTCTTCAGTACTGTAAATTGGACCTACTTATTTTGATCCATTTATGTGTTTGCCTTTTAGGTACAGAAATGAATAAGACACTCATTATTCTTTCTTTCTTTTTGCGGAACTCTCGCATACATAAACAGAATGTGCAGCAGGGTTTTTCCAGATAATTCTGCCTTTGGTCTTGGGCTGGAATTAATGATTTTTTTCATTATCCATTAAGAAAGAGCAGATAACAGCGAAGCAGATAATGATGTGAACAATTCATCAGTTTTCACAATGCCTCCTGAACATTTTTCTGTCGACTGATTAATAAACTAATTGTTGCAGCTCGACTATAAGCAAACCCAAAAATTTGTTTTGCTCATTTGTGTTATTTTTTTTTATTCATTGACATATTGTGAGTGTTGCTGGTCGTCACCTTGAGCAGCAGCACCAGCAGTGCAGCGCTGATCAGCAGAGGAATCAGGCTGCTGATGAACCAGCTGAACCACAGGATGCCATTATCCAGTCCCATAATCCTCATGGTCTCCTTCAGCCGAGCCTCCTTCTCGTATACCACGCTCTTCAGGATGATCGCCACCGAGTACATCCAGGCCAGTGTCATGAAGAGGGGCATCGAGCGGCTCATCACCCGCAGGAAACTTCAACAGAGGACATGACCAAAGGTTTGAGACAGAGCGTAAGGACTTTGAAAACTAAAACCAGAGCAGGTCATGAACATACATATCGTCTACGTAGCAGGGGTATGGCATCTGCTGGATGTACACTCCTGTCTTCTCCTTAGTGCCCGTCACTGCTCTGATGATGCCCTGCTCAATAACATCCTGCAAGTACGTGAACCCACCCCAGATGTATCGCATGTCCTCAAACGGGTCGGCACGAGGCCCCGGGTCCCAATAGCTGAAAAGGGGGTGAGAAACCATTAATGTCCCGTTTGTTTAAACAGCACAGATGTGAGCTGCTGAAGGTTAGAGAAGATGTTCATCTGCACTAAGAAAATCAACATTTGAAGAAAGCCTCTTGAAAGCTTGAATGCATCCAGTCTTTGTGCTAAGCTAGGCTAAGCACATTCTGGAACATTTGACTCTATTTCTACACCTGTTCACAAGATTATGACTACTAAAATGATGTTCATATGCAAGCTCATTGGTGATATATAGAGTTGCAAGCAGGTGGATTTTGCTTTTGGACGAAGCCAGATTAGTTGTTTCCAACTATTTTCAGAACAGTGGGAACAGTGCGAATTCTGGCACAGCTTTACGAATGAACCAGGTATCTACACTGGCATGTTGCTACTTTGTGCTGTCATGTCATTGCTACTTTTAATCTGCATTTAACGATATAATCTAATTTGCATTCTGTTTTATCCATGTATATTTTATGTGTTATCTGTGTGCACTGTGTTAAGCACTTTGAATCACCTTTGTGTATGAAAAAGTGCTCTATATATATATATTCATTCATTTTCTACCGCTTAATCCCTTAGCGGGGTCACGGGGGGGGGCCGGAGCCAATCCCGGCCGGCAATCGGGCGAAGGCGGGGTACACCCTGGACAGGTCGCCAATCCATCGCAGGGCTAACACATAGACAAACAACCACACACACGCACATGCACTCCTATGGGCAATTTAGAGACACCAATCAACCTAAGCTGCATGTCTTTGGACTTGGGGAGGAAGCCGGAGTACCCGGAGAGAACCAACAGTCAAGCTGGACACATGACTGTCAGGGATAAAAACAGAGGATTCCACTAAATGTTGAACTATTCTTTACTCTAATCTTGAATAGTTTATACTGTGGGGGCCTGCTGTCCTCATGTGAGAGTTGCAGCCCCACATTGCCTGTATACAAACACCTGTCGGGCATCTCTGGTGTTTTTACTGAACTAGTTTCAGGGTCACTGAGGTCATTCCCACCAATCAAGAACAGGAACGCTTTCATCTGTGTGTGTGTGTGCACGTGCGTGTTCGTACGCGTCTTTGATCTTATTGGTCCGCTCTACGTTGTCGATGTCCATGCGGATCTTGTAGTTGAGTTTGGCCGGCAGCTCAGTGGCGTTGGGGGGAATGTCCGGGAACACGATCCCCGCCCAGAACTTCCTGTCCTCCAGCAGCACCATGGACTGGTTGACCAGCTGCTCCTCAGTAGAGACCGGCTCCAGTTTGTCCAAGTTCACACACTGCAAACACACACACACACACCTCATATAGAGTGGTCAGGTCATGTGATGTTCAGTCACCAATCATAGCAGGTAATGGCAAGTCATATGAGGTGAGCGTATGTAAAACAAAACCCTCACATCACATAAAGTAACCACAGTGGGACATAAAACAAGGGGTTCATAAAATGGCCGTAGTCAACAACAGGCAACTTGGTGTGTGTGGTCACAAACCTTCTGTGGACCTTCATAGGCATGAAGGGAGCCTTGTGGCCATGTGAATGCAGAAAGCATGAATACGACTTCTGAAAACTGATGTAAGCAAACACAGTGTATAACACTGTGAGGACCTGAACCTGACAGCTCACTGATGATGTGGAGGGAAAAGAGCTGATTTTCAAAAGCTGGTCACTTTACTTTGGGTCCAGACTCCCTCCAGGTGTAGGTCTGGTATACCAAAGGTCTAAGGTGGCAGACGGCTCCGTGTTACACTTCAGTTTATTCACACAGGGTTTGTGAAGATTTGGGGTAAATTCTGGACTCTTGAAAACTTCAAAGTGTGACAACTCACTGACATTGTGGGGACCACAGTGCTGATCCTCTGACTTTTAAGGTTTATACGGTTACTTCAGGTCTGGTATCAAACTTAGTTGCAGATGCAACAAATTACTTTCATGTGCAACAACTGTGCAGTTACTTTTTACATTTCTGATGTGATGATAGCATTTAGATCAGGGTGATTCTGATCTCTGACCTCCATGAAGCGTGAGATGCTCATGATGGCTTGGTCAGTCTCGTTGAATACGTCCCTCCAGGTGATGGCGGCGCTCGACGGTCGTGGGTCGTCCGTCTGCTTAGACAGAAAGTTGGAGACGTCGGCCACGGTCCAGTCTGTGTTGGCAAGCTGGGCATGAAAGAAACTGGTGGCGACGTTATTCTTCAGCAGAGTCTGGATGACAGACAGGGAGAGGGCTGAATGACCACTGTGTTGATCTCACAGTTTTTCAGTTTGGCAGAAACTGAAGTCTGAAGTTTACCCTGATCAGGTCCATGTGCTGGCTGTTCTCCATGAAATTCCACACTTTGGGTCGCATCTCCTCCCACATCCCACCAAGGTCCCTGAACACACCGAGCTCTTGGAAAGTCCGGTTCACCTGAATGCACCACAGACAGACACAGGTGAAACGAGGAACATTCGAGATGACCCAGATCTGTGGAGAATCGATCATCAGCAATCGGCGCACAATGCGTGCCGGTTAGGTTTCTGTCTGATTTGACCCAACTTGCTCTGACGCAACACCTACGTGGGCAACAACTGAGGCAGCTGCAGTTTTTGGAGCCAGGCACCACAGTTGTTGTCCACTGACTGCAAGACCTCAGGGTATGATGGGAAACACCTGGTTCTCACCTGATCTGAGAGCTGATTGGTTTAGACGATGGATCAACAAAATGACGCTTTATAGAAACTTCATTTCTTGTATAATTACAGCAACTGTGAATTTATTAGTTAGATTTGGCACTATGAAGGTGGTTGATGGTGACCATCAGTCAGAGAAGCTGAATACAGTCACAGACTGCAGAAAGTCTGTGATAGTTCTGCTTTACAATATGAACATTACTGATTTAATTCCTGAAATATTAAGTGACACAAAAAGCCTTTGGTAAGTGGGATGTGAAGATTTCTGTCAGACTAAATATCTGACAGATCAACAATGAAAATGTCTAGTGATTAATACTGTGAATGTATATATGCAGTTTCATATCAAATCAGGCCTGGTCAGCCCAGATACATCAGCAAACTGACATGATGAGAAATGTAGCCCATGTAGATTTACAGGCACGATGTCAGAGTAATACGGAGATGAACATAGAACAGCATGTTAGCACTCTCCCTGTCATCTAGACAACTATTTGGACCCTGGGTTAAAACTGAAAAGTTTGATTTGATGACATTGTATTAAATCTGCATCAAGTCTAACAGTCTGATCTAACAGGACTCTTCTGGGACCTCCTGTACAAACCGAAGGCCGGCGGAAAGCTCCTAAACCATCAGTCTACCTAAACCATGCGGCTTGTTGCCCTTGCTGCTGCCGCCTGCCTTCGTCCACTTCCCTGGCAAGGTGCAGTGCATCTCAAATGAGCCTGAAGATCCCTCCTCCTCCTGCAGGAAGCGATGCCATACCTCATGGATGACTCTCTGGGTGGCGGGGGTGTGGGGGGTGTACAGGATCTTCCCCATCAGCAGAGGTTTCAGAGCCTGCCAGATCATCCTGGACATTGGGTTGGAGTCCATGTTCTTCACCAGATTGTTGCAGTATGGAGCTGGAAAACACAAACAAGATTAATCCTGACTGGTTCATTTTGTAGACACACTCACACAGTGAACTTTAAATTACATCAACTTTGTTTTCTCAAGTGTCTTTGAAAACTACAACAGCCATGAGGCCACCTGCTGTTGCTATGATGGAGAAGCCAATGAAAGCTTAGTTTAAGACTGTTGCCATGGTTACTGAATTGATCCCAAGGTGATCCTGAATCAGAACGTGTCGATCAGGTCACTGATAACTTATTAAACTTTTTACTGTAGACATGACAGAACATGAAGCTCTGTGACTGGCTGTTCGTCAGTGCAGTGCACCCTGGGAGTTGTCGTCAACCACAGGCTTCTTGGAGCCTTGAGTTTTAACCAAAGAACCAGATATTTTCTGGGTTGTTCACACTTGAAGAAACAACTAAATTGCTCGGTTTGCCATGGTTTCTGGCTAAACTCAAACACTGACAGATTTCTATAACAGTGGTGATGACAGACCAGCTTCATCTTCATCATATAGGTTCCCAGCAGTCCAGTAGGAAGTGTTCATAATGCTGGGGGAGTTTCATGCCCATTACAGCATCTATCAGAGACTCAACCGCAGCACACTGGATGTCTGAAATACCTCTGACACAGCAAAAAACAAACTGACAGCTGATCTCTACCTTTTAAAGGGTTTTCAGTTCTCCCCGTTATATCTGACACATGAACAGGACAACATTTAACTGGTTTGTTCTCTGCCTACTTCTCCAGATCAGTCAACACTGTAAATTAAATCTGTGCTGCAGGACCACCTCTCGGGCCATACCAGGGGAACACCTGACCCTGCTCTATATAAACTGCTCATTCATTTACGGGTTGCAAGCGAGAGCGGACGTTTTTTCTGCTCCTCTTGTCTGTTCTGGGATTTTTCACATCTGTTTCATATCTTCTACACCTTCAAGTCTTTGGAAAAGTCTACATCTGTTGAAATGCCTCCAAAAGGGAAAAGAGCAAATAAATCTGAAGCAGCTGAGGATGTCGAAGCTGAAGAAAATTATGACAGAGCGAC